ATGATTATGAGCCAATTATCAATAGAAACACACAATGTTCACTTAAAAATAGTACAGATAAGTTTGTTAAATTGGAGAAGGAAAATCATCATTATGTTGATATGGACACAACCAAATCAAAGCAAGAGAAAATTATTCCAAAGTTACCACCCGCACTTCCACCAAAACCGCCCAATCTTATATCTAAATATAAAATCCATAAAAATCTGGAAAGGACAAAAATGAGCTCTGATGTTGTTGAATGTGTTCAACAAATTAATGATGCTGTTTCTGATATACCTGAGCCTGACTACTGTTCAATTTCTGAAATAAGTGAACAAGTAGCCGTAGTGCCATTGATCAAACCAAATATGACCACACCACGTGTGATAGAAGCACAATTATCAGTTCAAGAGCCAGATGTACCAGTAGTCAAAGTGGCCCCTGTCACTAGACTGCAGACAATAAATTTAGATCATTTGCTAGATTCTGCTGATTCTGAGGATTCCAGTTATGTCAGCGTGGACGCAATTAAGTTGCCTGAAGTTTCTGAAATAATAATACCAAAGGAAGATCGGTATGATCATGATAATTATATAAAAAATAATTCGGCGCTTTTAAAAACAAGCAAAACCAGCCAGGATGAACTCACATGCATTATACCTGTAATTAATAAATTAAAGCCAGAAATAGTAAATAAAACACCGAGTGATATTGTTAATAACAATGACAATGCTTGTAAGAGCAATGTTTTGCATACATTTGAAAATTTGGATCTTAGTCAAACATTTGAAGAATTCAAACTGGACGAAGACGATATTAATGGAATGGAAGTTGAAGAGTATGTAATAGAAGATAATCAAGATTTTGTATTTCACGAAAGTGATGAAAATGAGCAACCAAATGAAACTGCACCTGATGAAATTATAGCAGATAAGGTAGAAACATTTTATAATTTATCAAAAAGCACATTATTAGCCACCCAATTTATGAGGTCTCAATTAATACCTGATGATACTTTGGAGTTGATGGATTCAGTGATCAAGGATAAAGAAGACTCAATAAAAAGTATGTCAGAATCTGAGAACGACATTATTGAGCATAAACATTTAAATGGTTATCCACATCATATAAATAAAAATTATGAGTCTTTTCTTGAAACATCAGGATTAAGTTCAAAATCAATTCAAAATTTATATAAAGTAAATAATATGCATTTAAGAATTGGTGGCAAACCAATCAGTCCTATGAAGCCGGGAACAACAGTCAAATATTGGTCTGGACCGTACTTATAAAATAGTTTTATATATAAATAACTATATTTGTAAATATGATTTATTAGTATAATTTGCTACTGCGTAGGTAAAAATCTGAATAAAGTCGATATATTCAAATTATTTATTTGTATTATATGTTTAAATAAAATGTATAACATATGCTATTGTTACATAGATGTAACTACAATATTGTAATAAACTCCAGTGAAACAAATTTCTTTAATTTTTAGATTATTGTTTATTAACAGAATAACTATGCTTTTATTTTATTATTAATTGATTGAGGAATGTTACAAGTATAATAATATCTTATAAGTTACTAACATCAGATTTACATTTTATTTTCATATAGTATATTGACTTCATAAAGTCTAATTTTATTTATTCGGTATTTTTGAATTTGTGATTCTATATTATCCAAATATGTTGTTATTCTCTCATCTAATTCAAAATATTTTCATGTAACTTAAAGACAGAAACTTGAAAGTGACTGTAACCTTTTGTACTTATAGGGAAATTTTTATTAATAGTCTCGCATTGATCGATTAAATTAGCTTGTTTAAATTTATTCTTAGTATTATTAAAGAGCTTTATTTGAAAGTAAAACTTTTCTGCATTTTCACGTGATATTTGTCTAATAGCCATACTTTCACCGTTTCCATGATGAACAATAAATTGTTTTCCAAAAGTAGTAAAAATTGTTAAGTCGTTGCCCATTCTTGTTATTGGAAATGTAGAACCAACTTTGTATATAAAAGGTTTGAATTTGCAATTTTCTAGCAAATGCTTATACAAATTGTATAAACATATTTTAATTTCACATTGAGGGCAGTTCACAGGAACAAAAACACATAAGTTTACATGATCTTTAAGTGTTTGCGGTGATAGAACTTCCTCACATCCAAAGTAGTTGTAGTCACATTTCATGTTTATTGCAGACACCAACGATTCTACTAAAAAATTTCTTTGTTTCAAAATAGGACTTTTACATAAAGGACAATCATGTACTTTGAGTGAACATTCTGAGCATAAACTATGACCTTGCGAACAGTTTATAACCTTATTTGACATTAAGTTTTTGCAAATCATGCATTCCAACAATAATGCGACTTCTTTTGGAATAACATTGACACCAATAAATCTTATTTGGACTGGTCCTTTATCGATTGTTAATTTAGAAACATCATGGCTATTGAAAGCAGTCGGATTATCTTGATGAGGAAGGATATTTCCCTGGAACAGTAGCTTACTATATTTGCAAAAAATTTCGTATGTTTTCAAAGAATAAGTGTTTTCATGCGAGAAAAGTTGCTGCACAGAAATGAATCGCTTGCCATTATTGTGATGCTGAGTTACCCAATAATATTCATTCTTAAAGTATTTTCTGCCATACCTTTGTACGAATATAGCTTTATCTTCAAAATTTAATTGGCATGACCAATTTTTACTTTCGAAAATGAAAAAAATATTTTGCTTATGTGCTTCAAAAATGTGTTTTGTAAATTTTGGATCAAGTATGTGGTTGTAACCATCAAACGGCATATCACAAATTTTGCACACATACTTCACTGGTCTGCTGGGACATCCTATTTTATGTTCTTCTAATTCAGTCTCTTTTAAATATAATCCGCAGTTGAAGTCGCAAGGAATCCGAAACAATCTGAAATATACAAATTGCGCCTTAACTGTATATATATGAGAAAATCTATATAAAATATGAGGCAAAATCTTCAGAGCAATACATCAAACAATTTTAATTTCCCGCAGCGTAAGTTGTAGTAATAGCAATAAAACAAACATGATTTTTTTTGCATATTTGAGTTTGAGGACTATCTGAACATTTTGGCATACCTTAGAAAAAATTGATGCATGTATGTGTGTAAGTGGGTGTATGTGTATACACATTTTTGTCCACGATTTTGAGAGCACGGATCATCCGATTTCAATAATTCTATTATTGAATTAGTATTGATGGGGAGACGTGCAGATTGCTTTTTGACAAAGGCATGTCCAGCCGTTTTGCAGATACGGGAAAGAAGTAACAATAATTACAATTTTTAAAGAACAAAGCGTCCGATTTGAATGATTCAAAATACATATCACTTGAATTGTTATAGTAAAGAATTGGTTAAATTTTTGGGAAGACAGGTCTAACGGTTTTGGATATCGAATAAAAGAATTTAAAAAAAAAAGCTATTTGGCGGTCAAACGTAATCATTAGACATATGCACATTAAATTATCAGACAATATATAGCGATTTTAAAAATAATTACAAATTTTCTTAACATTTTTCTAAATTCTATGCCAACATTTGAAATAAAGTACGGTACGGAAATTCCAGCATTTTGCCCTAAGGCACGATGCCATGCACCACTAGTTTTATGTTTGATGTGTTGCCCCGAAGAATTTGTCCCACATATCTCTATATATTTGAAAGGGTTGTTAATATATAAATAGCAAACCAAAGTCCCATAGTTGAGAAAAAAAAGCCCATTGTTGTAAGTTATATACGTATATACATATATGAAAAATATTATATGTATATATATATATATTTATATATATATATATATATATATATATATATATATATATATATATATATTGTTATTGAAAAAAAGGTTGGGGGGAATAGTGATAAAGCGATGAAGGGTAAGGGAATCATTTTTTTTGTGTTGGCTCACACACTATGGACCTGCCTTTGGGCAGACTACCATTTATTATTATTCTATTAATATTCATTGATGTATTTACATACCTTGTTTCTAATGTTTTGTCGACGATACAAACTTCAAAACTTTTTGCTATTTGTGCAACTTGAGTATTAATATCAAAACAATCCATCATATATAATTATTATTACATTTAACATTAATGATAGTATTGTTCATCTAATTTATTTTTCAATTTTAATGTTTAATAAATCGAGAAATATTTTTAATTACAAGGTATTAATACTAAATGAATTAAGGAATTATTCCTTTATTACTATACTAGGAAACTAAATCATTCTCAGGTACTAATGATACAGGTAAGCAACATAAAAACCTAAAAGATAAATGTTATCTAATCTTGTACTGCCCATTATCAATGTGCAATACGATTACAGACAATTTTGCGATTACTGCAGAAATAAATAAATTTATTTAATATTTTACACCATAAAAACTTTGTGTTCTTAACTTTTTTATGATTTTGATGTAATAGAAACACGCTTGTAAAAAAACCTTTTTTATTTTAACGCTTAATTCACAATTGTCATTATAATGACTATGTCTTAGACATCTAAGAAGTATAATTGAAATATAAAAAATAAATGAAAATAATAAAAATTTCAATTTTTTTTATATATTTTAAATATGATCTATTCATATGACGATCTTATAATTGCATTCAAATACTGTTATTATTATTGGTTTTAATTTGATATAATAATTATTTATTTATATATATATATATATATATAAACACATACGTATATATATATATATATATATATGTATATACATATATATATATATGTATATATATATTTATTTATTTAATTCTATATTAAACAAAAAATTATTAACATTTTCTTACGTTATTTGTGGTCTGGTGTCTAGTAAACAAGGTTTATACCAATTTCAGACTTTATCGAGCAATATTATATATATATTACATATATTACATACATGTCATAATAAATTTCTCTGATTTATTTAATTTATGTCATTAGAGTAATATTTAAAATATATGGGGCCTAGTGAAGAAAATATAACTATTATAGTTTATCAAATAATGCATTGGCAAGAGGTTCAAATTAAATTTCATAAATTTCATTTTACTAACTTTCCATTTGAGGTAGTTTAAAAACCCTAACTTTACAATATGTATAACTAGTTATATTCAATGGATATTCATCATTTAATTGATGACATTTTCCAATAAGTTCAGCCTGTCTGTGATTATTTTTTGCAGCGTTAAACAATTTTACTTCATAATAAAATAAATCTGAGTCGTTTCGAGTTATTTGTCTCACAGCCAAGAACATTTGATCTTCATAGTACGAAAAATCCAGAATGAAATCTTTTCCATATTTTGAGAAAAATGCGATTTCTGGTTTTGAAGCTAATGATATCAAATTATTCATTTCATATGTGATTCTACTCATTGAATTTCCACACTCGTTTAACATATGGTTAAATAATTGATAGTAATTCATTTCATTATTGCATTTAGGACAGCTAAGAGACGCAAACATGCAAATTTTCAAATGCAGATTCCGATCCTGAGCCGAAAATTGTTCCTGACAACCATTGCGACGGTTTTCACATATTTTATTTGAGGATTCAATTATAGATTCAGCCAAATAATTTCTTTGGTCAGTCAAAAATGATTGTTGGCATAAAGGACATGCAGTTATTTGGCTCAAACAGTTATGGCATACACTGTGCCCTGTGGTACAGAGGACTATTTTACCGGTCATCAAACAGTTACAAATCAAGCATTCTAGAAGTAATAAAATTTCTTCTGGAATTGTCACTAAACCTACAAATTTGATTGTCAATGATCCACATGCTGATATTTTTGTCACATCAATGGAATCTGATGAGAAGTCTACAGGATGAGTATTTCTAGGAATTACTTCGGCTTGGAAAACAAGTTTCGACTCATGACTTTTGATTTCAAATACACTTAAACTGCAAAATTCATCAGTTGCAAAAAACTGTTGTATAAGAATTTTGCGACGTCCATCTTCAATTTTTTGTGTAACCCAAAAGTATTCATTTTTGTAATAATCGATATCATTTCTTATAACTATTTTTGTTTCATCAGCATAGCTCATTGGGAAGGACCAATCATCAGTATCCGGAAGGAAAACAATGTCGTTTAAATGTGCTTGAAGAATATGTGTTTTAAAACCAACATTGATGAAATTGTAGGATCCTAGAAACTTTTCATCGCATATTTTGCAAAGGTAATCAAATGGTCGAGCTGGACAAATATTTTTATGTTCCTGCATTTTAAACCGACATAGACGTAGTCCACAATCAAATTCACAAGATCGCCAGGATGATCTGCAAAATTAGTGAGGGTTAGTACATTGTGCAGCATCAGTTAAAAAAATATTAGTTAATTAATATTTTAAATACTTAATTTACGGTTAAGTGAAGCAAGATAAATTGCTTAACTTGAATGCCATAGTTTATAAAAAAAAAGATTACAAAACTAGGTGTAAGTGGAATCTTGCCTTAAGGTTAGTTTCCAGGTTAGTTTCCAGTTAAGATGTGTAAGTAATATACATACTTAATCAATATATCAGTTTAAGTAGATATTGAGTATATACTTGTAAATTGTTGCAAGATTTTATAATGTTATTACAAGATAATTACAATGATAAATGTATTCGTTCTTACTTTATATACAGGTTTATGTCCTAAAAGTATAGTCCACGTTTTTCATAAATTTTAATAAATAACCCACTTTTAGCCCTATATTATTTTAGGATATTTATTTAGACCATAAACTTATAGTGATAATAATGTGCACGACTGGTATTTGCCAAATACTAATCAGCTCGATTTCAAACAAATATGTTTCAGGTTTTCGGATTTTTAAAATCGGTTAAAGATTTTTGACATAAACGGTTAAAGATTTTTGACGTAAAAATTTTGCACTTTAATTATAGTTGCATAAATAAAAGCTGTATCTAATGGCTGTTAAATTTTTGAAATTGAGAAAACTTTCACCATTGGTGCTATTTTGTTCAAATACACAAATACAGACGTGCTTTTTCCAATTTTAGTATCAATCGATCTAGAAGTGCTTTGATTGGCGGGAAAATATTTAATTAACATAGGATTCATTTGAAAAAAAAAACATAAACTGCTTTTTTGGAAAGTCAGTTAGATAACGATACAAAATATTATATTATTCAAAATTTAAATTTAACTAAATGACTAATGAAATTATACTGCTTTTGTATAACAGAGGCAAAAGTTACCTAAAATATAATTATATTATACATAATTTTCAATAAATAAATGTAATTTATATATCTAAAATTTATTTCAACACAATTCATTATCATTTACCTTTCAACAGCATTATAGTCAGTCGCACAAAATTCCAGAGAATTAATTACATCAATTACATCTTGATCATTCTCCATATTTAATAAATTTATTTATTTAAATTACAATTATTATCTAAAACAATATTTAACTGATCGCAAATTATAGAATCCAAGTATATGATTTTAATTGCATTTTTACAAATTGGTTATTATTATAACTTACAGAAAAATCGTACACGACTAAGTAATTTACTTTGTGAGAAATTGCTTTGCAGTATGTTTTAATCTCATATTGTTCACATTAGATAAGGATAATGGTGATATTTTATATCTTATCATATGATTAAAATTGATGTATTTACTATTTATATAAATCACCAGTCGATGTGCAAGGTCATTAGTGTGATTGGAAATGCATAATTTTATTTATTTACTTATATGAAATACAATTCTTCATCATATGGCAAATTGCATCACGCCTCACAAACGTTTATAATTTTATAAATAATTTAGAAAATCATACTTTTCGCAAGCCCTTTCTAGTCAATTTACACAGTCACTGATTAACTAATTAAATATGACTAATAACATCAAAAATAATATCACGATCAAGCCGATTAGTAACCGGAGGTAAAAAATACGCCTTGTAGAACGTGTTAAAAATATATCAGGCAAATTAAAAAAATATAGTATACCCCTATATTTTGCTTATTATTATTTTATAAAAGCAACCAGTACTAAGAGTTCTATGAACAATTATGCTTACAACTCCTAGTAAGTTAACTTGATCCAATAAATTATATCTAATAGTACTTAATTACCCACTGAGTAACTAGTATAAATTATGTAGGTATATCAAAATAATTTTTAAAATTTATTATGTTCTGATGATGAAGTCTTTGTGAGACTGTACTTGGTGGCTTTTTTAGGTCTAATGATTGCCCTTTCTACCTATGATTATTTTTTATTTGGGCAACTCAATGGTTGTCTGTTTTTATTAACGATATATTTTAATTTATTGCAGCATTGTATTATTTGGATAAATATTCCGATCTATATTTTGAGTAAAAATTAATATTACTATTGCTTGATATCAAACTGCGTGTACTAATGGGTGTAAAAAACATACTATGTACACTGTATATGTCCTCATAAGTACACAATTTATACATTATAAAAATTAAAATTAAAAAAAATAATAATTTTTAATTATCGGTATATATCTAATATAAATCCAGTATGTAAACATTTCTTCAAACATTTCCAATACTATACATTTAAAAACAGTATTTCTATCTTCTAAAGAACTGCTGATTAAAGAATTACAAATATACTTACTGCAGAGTAAATTTAATTTAAATTTATTTTGGAAGTAACTAGTTGGTTTGGTATTTAGCCTTGAGGCAAATTACATGAACTTCCCGATATGTGTAAATAATCGACTTGATCAAAAAATGTGTAAATAATATACTTCATCAATCCTACTTTATAAAAAAACGATAATACTTTTAGCAAAGTTTGACGAATTTTTAAATTAAACTACTTGTCGTAAGGCCGTAATATTACAGTAAGTTCTATAGACCATGATTATATCGCCAAAAAAAAATTCCATGAAAAACGGCTTAAATTTTTTTTAACAGTTAATTACAAGAAAACGGCTCGGTAGATTTTCACCTAAAATTAATCAGCATCATTCCCAAATGATATCTTTCGAACAGTTTTTGATTTTTCAAAATCGGTTCGGTAGAATGAGCTTAAATGTGGACGAAAATTTAACACTTTTTTTCAACATTTAATTACAAGAAAACGGCTCGGTAGATTTTTACCTAAAATTAATCAGCATCATTCCCAAATGATATCTTTCGAACAGTTTTTGATTTTTAAAAAAGTTCGGTAGGATGAGCTTAAATGTGGACGAAAATTTAACACTTTTTTCAACATTTAATTACAAGAAAACGGCTCGGTAGATTTTTACCTAAAATTAATCAGCATCATTCCCAAATGATATCTTTCGAACAGTTTTTGATTTTTTTAAAATCGGTTCGGTAGGATGAGCTTAAATGTGGACGAAAATTTTACACTTTTTTTCAACATTTAATTACAAGAAAACGGCTCGGTAGATTTTCACCTAAAATTAATCAGCATCATTCCCAAATGATATCTTTCGAACAGTTTTTGATTTTTCAAAATCGGTTCGGTAGGATGAGCTTAAATGTGGACGAAATTTAACACTTTTTTTCAACAGTTAATTACACGTAAACGGCTCGGTAGATTTTCACCTAAAATTATCAGCATCATTCCCAAATGATATCTTTGAACAGTTTTTGATTTTTCAAAATCGGTTCGGTAGGATGAGCTTAAATGTGGACGAAAATTTAACACTTTTTTTCAACAGTTAATTACAAGAAAACGGCTCGGTAGATTTTCACCTAAAATTAATCAGCATCATTCCCAATGATATCTTTCGAACAGTTTTTGATTTTTCAAAATCGGTTCGGTAGGATGAGCTTAAATGTGGACGAAAATTTAACACTTTTTTTCAACATTTAATTACAAGAAAACGGCTCGGTAGATTTTTACCTAAATTAATCAGCATCATTCCCAAATGATATCTTTCGAACAGTTTTTGATTTTTTAAAATCGTTCGGTAGGATAGCTTAAATGTGGACGAAAATTTAACACTTTTTTTCAACATTTAATTACAAGAAAACGGCTCGGTAGATTTTCACCTAAAATTAATCAGCATCATTCCCAAATGATATCTTTCGAACAGTTTTTGATTTTTCAAAATCGGTTCGGTAGGATGAGCTTAAATGTGGACGAAAATTTAACACTTTTTTTCAACATTTAATTACAAGAAAACGGCTCGGTAGATTTTTACCTAAAATTAATCAGCATCATTCCCAATGAATATCTTTCGAACAGTTTTTGATTTTTAAAATCGGTTCGGTAGGATGAGCTTAAATGTGGACGAAAATTTAACACTTTTTTTCAACAGTTATTACAAGAAAACGGCTCGGTAGATTTTCACCTAAAATTAATCAGCATCATTCCCAACTAATATCTTTCGAACAGTTTTTGATTTTTTAAAATCGTTTCGGTAGGATGAGCTTTAAATGTGGACGAAAAGTTTTTTTTCAAATTACAAAGAAACGGCTTGGCAGATCGTTGCACAAAACTGACAAACGATAGTCCTAACCGAAATACATCAAATGGCTATTAAATTTTCTAAAATCGGTTCAGGCGTTTTTGAGAAACGTCGATCAAAAGTCTAATTTTGACAAATGCCAAAAAGATCATACTGATTTTTGCAAACTTTGACGAATTTTCAAAGCTGAAACCAGTTGTCGTAGGGCCGTAATATTTTAGTATGATCTAGAAGACTATGGTATCTATCGCCAAAAAAATAATCATAAAAATCGCCAAAATTTTTTTTTGAAAACTTTATTACAAGAAAACGGCCCGGCCGATCTCTACCAAAACTAATCAGCACGATTCCCAACCAATATCTTTCGAACGGTTTTTGAATTTTTAAAATCGATTCATAACTGCGGGCTAAAACGTGGACGAAGAGTTTTCACTTCTCTGCTATTTACGAAGAAACGGCTTGGCAATCGTCGCACAAAACTGACAAACAATAGTCCTCATCGAGATACATCGAATGGCTTTTAAATTTTTGAAATCGGTCCAGCCGTTTTTTGAGAAACGGCGATTTACGGCAAAAAAATCTGTTGGTGCACACGCACACACACACACACACCACAACACACACACACAACACACACCACATACTTTTTCCAAATTTGGTTTCATTCGATTCAGAATGGCTTGAAACGTCGAGAAAACATAAAATTAGCGAATCGGATTTTTTGATGAAAACATAAACTTCTCCTTCGGGAAGTTAATAAGAATGTTTTACCAAATATAATATAAATAATTAACCAAAATCAATAATTCAAAATTTAAAATAAAAAAAAATCGCCTGGCATTTATTCGCCTTAAACACTGCATCAAATTTTACATATAAGAATTCATATAGACATTACTGGTTGAATTCTCTGAGTAAGATTTAAAATAATAGAGCTATACATTAATATTTGATTTACTTTTAAAACCATACTAATATGTTCACAATTCTTGCAATATTGTACCATCGTAATCAAAAATGTCTCATAATTCAATTTAATTAAAAATATATTGTGAACTATATGTAATTGAAATGAATAATCACAATATAAAATAATTTGAGTTAGGTATTAAATTAAGGTATGTAGGAGCTATATTATAAATATAATCATTATGGATTGATCACGTAGGTGTTCTTTATCAAAAACTATATTTTATCTTTACAAAGACTAATCTCGTTATTCAGAACTATTAAACTTTTTAGAGATATATTTTTTATAAATCTTTCAAGTTCATTTCCAATCCTATTATTTTGTCATGCAATTTTCCTTAAGGTAAAATTTCACTTGCAACTAGTTTATGGTAGTTTATGGCAATATATATTTCTATATATTTCTATATATTCAACCTATTCAGACCTAATCAATAATAATTCAGATTCAGCTTTTGAATAAAATTGTCGGACTGGATCTCCATCAAGGATCCAAAGTTCGATTCTGCTTTGAGCAGCCTGTTGTCAAGCAGTAGTGGTAAACGTGTCTTATTAATTGTTGTTGTTATTTTTTCTTTAATAATAAAAGAATATCAATATAAAATTTCATTCTATAACATTGCCGAGGTAATTGCAATCATTCATTTTATAGAAATAATCTGAAATAATTCGTAACTTGTTTTAAGGCAAAATGCCACTTACACCTAATTTATCTTCCCGTAGTGATCGCAAAAAAATTGCATATCCTTGCATTTAATAGGTTTCTGAACATGTTGGCATACCTAAAACAAATGGGTGTTTGTGTGTATATGAGTATCCGATTGAATGATTCAAAAAACATTCGATCTTTATTGATGAGGATACGTGCTGATTAATGTTTGGCATAGGCAGGTCCAGTCGAATCGAAGATACAGGCAAAAAGTGCAAAAAATTGCAATTCCGTTTTTGTGAGAACGGAGCGTCCAAATTGAAGGATTTT